TTAAGAGATCATGTGTGAACAGGACCTTTTCAAAAATCCCGGTAAATTTGTTCTGGCAATAATATCATTCTTATGGAGATGATGTGATAACTCTGAGCTGTTTACAAAGCTAAGCTGCTTTTTTAATAGCTTTTCTATGTAAATATAGATTACGCTAGATGGAAATCTTTGACCATTGCGCCTCGCAGCTTTTTCAACGTGTCGCGCTCGAGACCCAGGCTTCTTTTCCATTCATCAGCTGCGACTCTGCAATTGGAAACTAGTATGCGCGCCTCGTGTTTATAAGAGCAAAAACTTCTGATTGGCTAGTAATATTAGTTTGGTTGAGAGTGAAAGCTGTGTTCCTCTCATACATTGGTAGGCGAACTCATGAACTCGAACATGATATCAACAAGTGTTTTTAAATGTAGGACAACTATCTTTTTTTTCCCCACAGCCAAACGCCGCACGCCGGAGATCCGGCACGGTGCCAGAGAACTTTAAGCCCTGTATAATACAAATGTTAATTGCCAAAAATTTTGTTATAGCAACTGCATAAGATAAAACACTACAGATCTGATCGAAGCATTAGCCAAAAAAAAAAAAAAAAAAGGGGAAACTTAGGGATTAAGTTTTGAAAAAGAAATCTTTTTTGAATTGTGTTCAGCGTGAGCAGAGACTACAATAGAGACATGCAAACTATAGAAAAAAACTAATAAATGCAGGAAAGAAAAGATGACATGAGAGAGAAAAGGAGGAGATGAGGCCTGCCTTTGGTCCAGACGTCTGATTGTGCACTGACAGGACAGAGCGAGGTCCTGAGCTCACACAGGAAAAAGGAAGAGGATATTTGGAGTTTATTGTAGAGGTGATGGGGAAACCCTGTCCCAAAGACGAGGGGAAACCTTTGCTATCCAGCTAGAGAAGACAAGAACAGCTTCTTCACTTCAAAAGACAAGTCCAATCTGACATGCAAACAATCAAACTGATCGCTACGGTTTGATTTCCTGCTACATCTACAGACAAAAACCTGTTTGGCAGATTTTATGCTAGACTTTCAGTGACAGTGATGAATTACCATATTGTGAGGAACACTTCCTGTTCTCAGACCTGCAGCAGGCGTCTCAAACATTCCTAAAGTCTCCTGCTTCCGAGAGAGCTGGTTCTCATTCAGCTGCTTGTTTAGCCAAGTTATTACTGAAGAACATGAAGGCAGAAAATGCCTTGAAAATGTTTCAATTAAACAGGATTTTAATGGAATATTTTATATATATATATATATATATATATATATATATAATAAGAATATAGAAATTTAAATAAACAGAAATAACCTAATAAAGAGATAAAAATAAATTAATGTAAATTATGTGAAAAGTATGTAAATTATATAAATTAAAACAAATAAATAAAACAAGTACAATAAACATAATATAAGTAAAAAGTAGAAAAATCATGTAAAATCTTGATAAAGAAAAAAAAAAATGCATAAAAAATATAAATAACAAATATAAATATGTATATAAATAACAAAGAAAAATAAAAGACAACTAAAAAAATAAATAGACAAAGATGGAGTGAATAAATAAAAGCACCCACCGTTCTCATTGGTTTTTAACACTTCCCTGCTCTCGTCCAGTTTCTGAACTGTAGCTTCAAATTGTTCCTTTAATTTCATTACCTAAAGCAAAAGAAAATGTTGATAAAAAGAAGTATTCCTCAAACAGGCATTTGTTGGCAGCAGACGGTACCTCTTCCTCTTTCTGTCGGAGCTGTTGTTGGGTGTCCTGCAGTTCTCGCTGCCCTCGCTGCAGTTTCTCTGTAGTTTCCTGCAGGATCTTTTCTTGAGACACCGTCACTGTGTTCTTCACCTTGATCTTCCCCATCAGTGCCTTCAGATCCCCCTGGAGCTTCTTGATGATGCCGTTCGCCTGCATTGAGAAATTATGTCTGTGAGACGTGTTCAACTGGACTATAGAAATAACTTCCTTTTAAACATCGACGCAAACCTTGATGAGCTCCTCCGACAGGGACTTTACCGTGGCCTCCAACTTGCTGATTTGAACTTGCTTACTTTCAACATTTCCTTCGACAGAATTCTAGCAAAGATACAAGTAAAAAAATTAATACATAAAGTGACATCCATGTCATATTTCATCCCAATATTAAAAGAAAAAAAAAATTATACTTATATACACACTCACTAATGAGAATATTTTTGTCATTACTCTGAGAATTAAATAGTATCAAATATATTTATTAATTTAAAATATGTAAAATCAAATAAATTTTATTTAATCCAATTTTAAAAGTAGATAGTATATACTACATATTTGAAAAATACTATTATATATAGCATTACTGAGAATTACAAATGATAAAATATATAGACCGAAAAAGAAACATATAGAAAAATCACACACACACAAATATATACATTAGGCATGTGATGGTATCAAATTTTCATGTTGTGATAATTGCTACAGCTTTAATCACGGTATACAGTAGTGATGCGCGGATGAGCTAAAACGTCACCCGAATCCGCAGCTTCAAATAAATTATCCACCCGCCAACCGCCCGCACCTGTACTTTCCTCTGATTTAGATAACCACACCCGATCGTCACATTCAGGGTTCGTACGGTCATGAAAAACCTGGAAAAGTCATGGAATTTAAAACAGCAATTTCCAGGCCTGGAAAAGTTTTGGAAAAATAAATAAAACCAGAAAGTTTTGGAAAAGTCATGGAAATCTATTTCACAATTCTCCGTATAATAGAATTATGTTTAATCAGGTCCTGAATTAGGATGCAGGATTGCGCATATATCGCATTAGCCGACTTTAAAATGATGGAATTTGCTGCAAAATATTTATTCAATATAGCGTGTAGGTTAGATGAGTAAATAAATCCACACAAACCATCAGATGAAAACAGCGTGAGTGATTCAGCTATACCTGTGTCTTCTCTCTTTGACTTTCTCTTCACATCAGCACATCTAGAGCTGCTGCACGCTGCGATATAAGACTTTAGTTCGCGTTTCGGGACAGTTGACAGGATTGTCACTTGCCTAATCGGTCATTGTTGCATCGTCACAAAAATGTATTATTTTCACGTCTTTTTAAGTAATTCGGTACTCGCGCGCTCCAGAGGCACTTTTCTGTGCGCTCCCAGTCACATCAAAAGCGCGCGCTGCGGTCAAATAGAGTTTGTTGTGCTTAAGTGGCCAAATACACACACAATTACATCAAAATGGTCATCCTCGCGAGTATCCTCATAAGCGCTGTCGGTTTTGTCTTAAGTTAATGTAAACAGTTGCGAAAGAAAACGCATGAGTATCAGTATTGGATCCGTGAAATAGGTCTTTTGACAGGAGCCTAATAAAGCTGTGCCGTCTGTCATTAATGTTAATCAAACAACAAAAGACAGAGAAAATAACTCACTGCTCTCGACTAAATGTTTTGTTGAATAACTTTAATATGTTAATTTACAGTTTATTCAATTTCTGTAGCCTATTTAAAACACGTTCATATTTTAGAAAATGTAGTTAATATTTGCATCATTAATGATTTATCTTATCCACCCGCAAATAATCAGAATGCATTTTTTATCATTTTTTTAATAAATGCATATAACCGTCATCCGCGTATCACTAGTATACGGTAAAGTGGACATAATACAGTATAACAGGTTTAATAACATTCTTTTTCCTGTAACAAAAAGTATTGAACATTTAAATACATTATAGCAATACACAAAAATGTTAAAGTAAACAAATGTTTTACAAAAATGTTTATGAAAAGTATTCTTAAAATGCTTTTAAAAATCGGAATAATTTGTAATAAATAATTATTCACGGTATTTTGAAGTGCTCACGATAACAATATCATGCATGTTCATTATCGTGATATCACATTACTGAATACCAGCACGCCTAATATACACACACTACATTAATGAGAATCAAAAATGAAATATATAGATAGAAAATAAAATTTAATATTTACTAAAGGATTTTATATATATATATATAATTTTTTTTTTGCATAATGCTAATGAGAATTGTGGGCAATGCGCTCACCTTCTGCTGCTGTGTGGCCTCCAGCACCTCTTTGGTCCGCAGCACGAGCTGCTCTTTATCTTTGATCTCCTGCTCAAAGACGGCCACTCGTGTCTGCAGCTGGTTGACGAGACGTTCTTTCTCGTGGCATTCGGTGTCGAGGGTGCTGTTCTCTCTCCTCAACGACAGAACCTGCTGCTTTGACCTCTGACACTCCTGGACAGAGACAAAGTTAAAACATCAGATTTTCCTTTTGATTTCCAGACCACATCCTTCTGGATACACGATAACAATATCATGCATGTTCATTATCGTGATATCACATTACTGAATACCAGCACGCCTAATATACACACACTACATTAATGAGAATCAAAAATGAAATATATAGATAGAAAATAAAATTTTATATTTACTAAAGGATTTTATATATATATATATAATTTTTTTTTTGCATAATGCTAATGAGAATTGTGGGCAATGCGTTCACCTTCTGCTGCTGTGTGGCCTCCAGCACCTCTTTGGTCCGCAGCACGAGCTGCTCTTTATCTTTGATCTCCTGCTCAAAGACGGCCACTCGTGTCTGCAGCTGGTTGACGAGACGTTCTTTCTCGTGGCATTCGGTGTCGAGGGTGCTGTTCTCTCTCCTCAACGACAGAACCTGCTGCTTTGACCTCTGACACTCCTGGACAAAGACAAAGTTAAAACATCAGATTTTCCTTTTGATTTCCAGACCACATCCTTCTGGATAAATCTCACACCTCTTCCAGGCTGGCCAGTTTGGCTTTAAGGTCTCGAATGGTGGAGTCGCTCTTGTATTTCTTGTCAATGAGCTCCCTGTTGGCCGTTTCCAGCTCAGAGGCTTTGGTTTGGAGCTGCTGGGTGCTTCTGTGATGAGATGCCTCAAGTTCCTGCCGCAGGGGCCCTAATAATAAGAAACGGAGCAATTCCAATAGGGTCCTCACACCATCGGTGCTCGGGCCCTAACTATAATAGAACTATGAAAAATTAAATAAAATGATACATTTAAATATAAATAACTAAAAAAAATAAAAAAATAAAAAAAGATAAATAAAACAAATAAATATAAATAAAAATAAGAAAATAAAAAACTATATAAAGGTATAAATATAAGTAAAAAATAAAAAGAAAGATAAGCAAATATAAATATATAAAATAAATAAATAACCAAATTAATTTCATATATATATATATACACAATATTGTGCAAAAGGCAAATTAGTATTGTCACCAAAAAGAAAGGTTAAGTAATTTAAAAAGGTTTAAGTCTGTTATTTCTATCTTTTGCTGTAGTGTGCCAGTAGAAGATATCAGTTTACATTTCCAATAGGGCTGGGCGATATGGGAAAAAAATTAAATCTAAATTTTTTACTCGAATGGTGGAGTCGCTCTTGTATTTCTTGTCAATGAGCTCCCTGTTGGCCGTTTCCAGCTCAGAGGCTTTGGTTTGGAGCTGCTGGGTGCTTCTGTGATGAGATGCCTCAAGTTCCTGCCGCAGCTGTTCGTTCTGCTGCTGCAGACGGGCTTGTATCTATTAAATAGAGTAAATTAAATAAGCTTTTAGAACTTTAGCTTTCTGGGCCTGATATTTTTTAGTTGGTTCACAAAAAAGTTTTATTCATTTAATTACTAGAAATTAATAAAAACAACTGAAAAGTAAATGTTAAACAAATCACTTGTTAGGCCTAAATAACTTTGCAAAAAAGATGCATGAACTACAGTTACATCTTGTACAAACTTGTCTTATACATATTATATGTTCAGAAATAATACAAGGAAAATGCTTTAAATAAATCTCAAATGTCAAGGTAATTCAAATTCAAAATGACTGAATGTATAACACCAGTAGACTATTATTACCTATAACTGTTCTGTAAAAACAATGAACAGCAGATTTCAGCCTGATGTCACTATGATGCAAACATGAAATTTCAGACATACAGTAGTAGCTCTTAAAGGGATAGTTCACCCGAAAATGAAAATTTGATGTTTATCTGCTTACCCCCAGGGCATCCAAGATGTAGGTGACTTTGTTTCTTCAGTAGAACACAAACGAAGATTTTTAACACAAACTGTTGCAGTCTGTCAGTCTTATAATGGAGGTGAATGGGAATCACGCTAGATCGGAATCTAAGCTATGATCCTAAAATAGGTTGAAATAATTAAATATCAAATATCATTCAATAGATATCCAACAACGGTCCAATAAATTGAAAATGATATATTCAATATATTGCGCATCGCTAGTTCCTGTGCATTCGGTTTTGTTTAGCTGTTGCATAATTGGTCAGGACAGTTCGGACATTGCAGTGAATCAGAGGTAAAAAAAACGATATAAATACTGTTCAGTTTCTTGCACTGACTGATCGTTTTGTGTCTTTACACATCAATGTATCGTCACGAGCCGCAGGGTTTAATTTGGTTTTGTTTGTGTACGTTTTTTTTTTACTCTCAAAGCCGTGATTCCCATTCACCTCCATTATAAGACTGACAGACTGCAACGGTTTGTGTTAAAAATCTTCGTTTGTGTTCTACTGAAGAAACAAAGTCACCTACATCTTGGATGCCCTGGGTGTAAGCAGATGAACATCAAATTTTCATTTTTGGGTGAACTCTCTCTTTAACAGGTTTTTATTGGATTGCGCTGCTTTACCATTGTTATTTCTATGTGAACATGGACGCGCGTTGCTTGAAACATCATTCTAAAAACACGGCGCTTAGGTTAAAAGAAGTTCAACTCCCATCGTCCTGCATTTTTTCCTATTCCACTGCCGCGTCGCATCTTTGTCAACACAAAAGCGCATTCTGTGTGAATGGCACCTTCTGGTCCTTCACAGAGTGCGTCACAGGTGAGCGGTTAATCACGTGCGCCGACATGCGGTCGGATCATTCTTTTCTCTTTACTGTTAACATTGGCATATTGTCAAAGTGTCTAATTCTAACGTTTGGTAATATTTCTATTCAAAATCGTGATTCCTCGATTTATAAAAAATAAAATCGTGGCAAAACATTACATTCGAATGAATCTATAAAATCGGAAAATTTCCAAACATTCCTTTTGCCATTAATTGTAATAATCCAGTGAGATTTTTGTTTGCACGAGCAGTCTGACAGCAGCCAGTGCTGCACACAGAGATCTAATCTCATCATCATCCAGTCCGTCTGGAATGACATGAAGAAACAGAACAAACTGAGACAGACTAAATCCAGAAGAACTGTGGCAACGTCTCCAAAACGCTTCAAGAAACCTTCTACCTGAAAAAAACTATGTGCAAGTGTACAGAGGACAAAAGCTTTTGTAAATGCAAAGGTTGGTCACACCAAATGTTGGTTTGATTTAATTAATAGAAGTTAATTGAAAATCTATTTATGACATTATAAATGTAAAGAAAGAAAATCTATTTATGACATTATATTTGAAAGCATCCTCAATTTGCAGCATGTTCACACAAGTGCCTAAAACTTTTCACAGTACTGTAGCTTTGCAGGTAGGTTTCTTGAAGTGTCTTGGAGACGTTGCCGAAGTTTTTGTGGATTTAGTCTGCCTCAGTTTTTTTCTGTTTCTTCATGTCATTCCAGACAGACTGGAAGATGATGAGATCTGGGACCGTATTCACGAAATATCTTAAGAATCTTAATAATAATGGGCGGTCAGTCCTAATTTTAAGGACCCTAAATTTTTGCTCTAGAAGTATTTAATAAAGGGTTTTAACGCTAAAATCGTTATACAATCATTATAAATCTCTGACAGAGACCATCAGCCTCTAAAACCAATTTTTGGGTGACGATACTAATGGCCAAAGACTTTTGCACAGTAGTGTGTGTGTGTGTTTTTATATATATATATATATATATATATACATACATACAGGTGCATCTCAATAAATTAGATTGGTTAAATACATAACTAATGCTGTATAAATGATCATTTCTCACCTTTCTATGGACAGGATTTGATGATGCTTGTAGTTCAATACTGATACGAATGACTGAACATCTGTAATTAAAATAACATAATCACATTTAGACCATTACTAGTCTCCAAAAACAAAACACTATAACATATAAAACAATTAATGAATTGTGAATTGGTGGGTTTTTGTTAAATGTGAGCCAAAATCATCACAATTAAAAGAACCAAAGACTTAAACTACTTCAGTCTGTGTGCATTGAATTTATTTAATACACGAGTTTCACAATTTGAGTTGAATTACTGAAATAAATGAACTTTTCCACGACATTCTAATTTATTGAGATGCACCTGTATGTATATATATATATACACACACATCTTGAATCTTGAATGTGACTTACTTGCTGCGCATAATTTAGCTGTCTTGTCAGATCTTCCTCAGTCTTTCTCAACTTCTGTTCCAACTGCTGCTTTTCCTCCTGTAAAAAAACAAAGATGTATTAAAGATTCATTCATTAAAAACAAGTAGAATTAAAACATATTATATATTCCCTTTGTAGTCCCAAGTCTGTGATGATGAGTTTCACCTTTACAGTGGACAAACATGTGGCCAGATACTTCTTAATATCCGTATCAGATCCCGGCAGCAGTTTCAGAGAGAGATGCGTGAGGTGTTTAAAAGCGTTCGTCTCCACAATGTTAAGGTTTGAAGGACTGCGATCGAACGCTGACGAAGCTGATGTGAGCTGCAACAGAAACCTGAACACAAACAGACAGAAACGGTTCTCACGACCAATACCCATTAACAGGAGATATAACAGCAATAATATCCAAACAATCTCTCACCGTGGGTTTTCTTTGTCCTGTTCAGAGATGCACTGTTCAAGCAAGCCTATAAATTTCTGTGGGAATGATGTGAAGTCTATTAAAAGCCCTTGTTGTACTTTTAAGCTGTGAAGGAAAGCGAAAGATTATTATGCTGAAAAGTGCACATTTAAGTAAAATATTATAATAAATATGGATCAATATTATACAAAAAAGGCATGATCAGATTACAATACCTCTGAAAATCCTCCTCTGATATGACAAGGTTGTATAAAAAGTAAAAATCAGAATCATCCGTCAGCCGTACAACCAAATCCTGTTGATAAAAACAAAAATTAAGTCAGAACAGCAAAAAAAAAATTTGGTTAAATACATAACTAATGCTGTATAAATGATCATTTCTCACCTTTCTATGGACAGGATTTGATGATGCTTGTAGTTCAATACTGATACGAATGACTGAACATCTGTAATTAAAATAACATAAATAATCACATTTAGACCATTACTAGCCTCCAAAAACAAAACACTATAACATATAAAACAATTAATGAATTAATATGCCCAAAACACACATTTAGGTCATATTTATGTTTAAAATACATACATATATACAATCGGTTTTACCTCTCATCGGTATCTCTATTCTTCACAAGCACCTGTAACCTCTTGTTAAAAAGTAATTCCGTCATTTCGAGTTCATATAATAATTCCCAAAGCGATTTGAATCATAAAAATCGCTGTTTATTCGTGTTTTTGACGCTGGTGAATGATTCATTTGCTGGTTTGTTTTCTCGCGCTTCGCTCCCGCGTTTGTCCGTTTCTCACCGGATGTACCGAACGCCTCAACCTAATCACGCGTATGATCTTATTTCAGCATGTTTGTGTTTTTAACAATATTTAAAACAAATATAAAGCTTTAAAATCGTGTTTAAGATCTATCTGTGGATGTTTAAGGATAATAAAATTAAATATATTTTCTGTCAGGGTTCACCGGCGCGTGTTGTGATTGGTCGAGAGGCAGGCGTCAAACGTCAACGCAGAGTGGGCGGGGCATACAGGAGTTTTGAACATGGCGGTGAGTAACGCAAACGTTTCCTCACCGTTCACTTTATAAACGCTTCTATGGACGCATGGCGTTTACAAACAAATAAACACGCAAATGTTTTGTGGGCTCTTAAATTTCCAATTTTCCACACTAGAACCTGCTGGTTAATGTAAATGTGATGTATTGTGTTGTGTATTATTGCGCTAAGCTACATTGCCTGATATATTATACAGGCCTGTAATATATTGTATAATCCGTAATCTTGATTTTCAGGATAAAGAGAAGAAAAAGAAGGAGAGTATTTTTGATTTGTCGAAATACATCGACAAACATATAAGAGTAAAGTTCCAAGGAGGTCGTGAAGGTGAGACAGTTGCTTTATAAGATAAATTGGGGGTTTAAATAATATAATAACATTATATTATGCTTAATTCAATTACATTGAATTTAACATTTATTGTTTCCTATTTTCAGCAAGTGGAGTTTTAAAAGGCTTCGACCCGCTGTTGAATCTTGTGTTGGATGGCACCATTGAATACATGCGAGGTAAAATCTCCAGACTGATTGTAAAATTAATAATAATAAAAAAGTCATTTTGAAATGTATTTTAATGCATTTTTAGTTATTTTTAATCTTATTTTTAATTTTAATAAAAAAATTTTTTTTTTTAAATTCTAATCAAACAGTTCATATGATTAAAGTTTTTATATTTGTATTTATTTTAATACATGTTTTTTGCATTTTTATTCAGAATCGTGCATGATTCCTCATCACATCCTTTTTACGCTTTTTCACTGAAGAAAGCATGAATAAAGGACTCGTATGTTACCTGGACGCAACGGTTTGAAGTTAAAAACATCTTCATGATGAATTTGTTTCTTACAAACTGCAGTGAATGGGTGCCGTCAGAATGAGAGTCAAACAGCTGATAAAAGCATCACAATAAGTCCATCAATTAACATTTTGTGCAGTGGAAAAACTGTTTAAGAAACAAATCCATCGTTAAGATTGTTTTTAACTTTAAACCATCACTTCTTCCTCCAGTCAAAAAGTCCATCTGTGAGATCCAGTATAGTTACCACTCTGATATTTAATGCAATACGTGTGCGGTAATTGAGATTTGTTGGTTCCTCCATTTGTGATGGCAGTTTTCTAGCAGTTATGAATGAAAGACTCAGTGTGTCTTGCCTCGCTGGTGCTCTTTTGAACAGATTTTATCAGTGCGCACTGGCACCCAAGTCTGGGCTTTATTGGGTAACACAGTTATTGTGGTTCAGGGTCTGTTAACTGATTGCTAACTTTAGAGGGGTCTGTAAGAGGAGCTGCTGTCTGAAGCCACGCCAACTCTTAATACTATTCCAGGTCAGGAGATGTCTGAGGAGCGGTGCATTTTGCACAGCAGATTAAACCTATGAGGTAAAAAAAAAAAAATAGAGAACTATACTGTATATACGAAACTATAAAAATATAATAAACTGTAAAAAACACAAGCTAATATACAGTTGTACACCTCCCAAGTACAACAGTCTATTGTTTCTTTAAATCCCTTAAAAGTCTCACAAAGACCAAATAACATTGTGAAAAATGATTGAGGATTTTGCTTAAACAACAGTTTGATGTGGACGACGCAGTACCGGCCAATCAAACACGAGATCCCGCCCTCACCTGTGTGAAGCCCCGCCCATTGGTGAGCCTAGCGCATAACAGTGCTGCATTCTCTGTAGTCTCCAAACGTATCGTGCGGTTTATTCGGACGTCAACGTAAAGATCAGATGCCTCAGTGACCAGATGCTGTCTGAAACGGTGAGTAACGATCTATTCAACACTAGTTAACTAGTTATTCGTCACAGAAGTATGCCAGAAGTTATTACACACCCAGCCTGTTTGTATTAGTTTGTATTGAGTTCCTCAGAATAGTATTTGAACTGTGTAGTGACATAAAATATGTATTTTTATTATGTTAAAAACGAAAATAATATTTGATTGCATTATGTAATTTTTATTTGTTGCATTATATTTTATTATAGCTATTTTATATTTGGTACCATTGCATTATTATTATTATTATTATTTTGCAATTTAAGATTTAAATGGCATTTATAGTCAATGAGATCTTGTGACCTGTAATATTAAGTGTATGTTTGTTATATATTATATTTTTCTTCTTTCATTTCAAATATTTTATTTTATTATATTTTACATTTAATTGGAATATATTGTCTTTCCAAGTTGTATGCCAAAAACTGCCATTTTATTTGATACTGTTGCTTTGGTGTTGGCAAACATGAAAATAATAGTTTTAATTGGCATTTATCGTCGATACATCCTTTTGGGGGGGGAGACTGAGAGAGTTGTTGTGGCATTTACAAGCCTGAAGTGAAAAGTAATTATATCAATATATTCTGGAACAGCAGGCTTCATATTTCTGTGCTATAACATTCCCGACCTAATAGAGGTTTGTTTTGGCTTCTCGGAACCACTCCTAGTATTGTATCATTCTATGGCCGGTGAAATAATACTTTGGCATCCCATGAGATGATTTTCAATGTCGGCACTTAAGGGAAATGCTAATGGTTTTGAGCTCTTAAAAACCCAATCCCGTGTTTACCTGGTGATCTGTCTGTCTTTCTTACCTCCATGTGTTTTACAGTTTGGAAAACACAAGGTTTTTTCCAGGTTGTGTTGCAGGTCTTTGTATAGACTGAAATGGAGAAGAAAGACTTGAATAAGTGGCCCGAGGGTGATCCACGGCCAGCTTACCTCTCCACTTGCAAATGTATGACTTTAGCTGCCATATTGATTCTTCTCATCATTGGGGCTGCTGTGGGTTTTATGACAGGTAAACTCAATGTATCCTTTTTATAGTCATTTGTACAAAGAATCAAAATATTTTTTGATACTGATGGGAACTTAAACCAGCCTTGTTTTCCCTGTTTAGCTTACTTAATACAAGAGGAACATTATTTCATGGAGACAGTGGAATTGCAAGAGCTCAGTTATGATCCAGATCTGCGTGATAAAACATCAGGATTCTATGTAGTTCTGACTGCAACTCTGAAAGAAAAGGTACGACCAGAAGACATGAATATTAGTGTGCACAATTTATTAGTTTTTTCAAAACAATACGTCAAAAAGGGTTTTAACAAACTGAGGTCCGCAGCTGTCTTACACTATTTTACAGATCAGGAATATCTTTAGCACCTCTGCAGTAGCAAGTCACTTTACTGACTGCCAGATAGTTGCATATGGGTAGGTACATTGCTTACATGCTATATTTTAACATAACATTTGCTGAAACTTTATACTCACCGTTAGACCATCCAACATGTAGATGAGTTTGTTTCTTCATCCGAACAGATTTGGAGAAATGTAGCATTACATCATTACACCAATGGATCTTCTGCAGTGAATGGGTGCCGTCAGAATGAGAGTCCAAATGGCTGATAAAAACATCAACAATCTGCCATCACAATTTAACTAGAGGAAGTGTTATTATGGATTGGGGCTCTTATTTTGTCCAGAGCGATGAATCAAAATTAAAAAGCTTTAATGATGGATTTGTTTCCCCACAAACATGCAGCTTTTCACTTCACAAGACATTAACTGATGGACTGGAGTGGTGTGGATTACTTGTGGATTATTGTGGTGTTTTTATCAGCTGTTTGGACTCTCATTCTGACGGCACCCATTCACTGCAGAGGATCCATTGGTGAGCAAGTGATGTAATGCTAAATATCTCCAAATCTGTTCTGAAGAAAAAACTCATATAATCTTTGATGGCCTGAGGGTAAGTAAATTATCAGAAAATGTTCATTTTGGGGTGAAATATTCCTTTCATTGAATTATGGTATTTGATTAAGAGTCTGTGGCATCTTTCAGGAATGCCAACACAAATGTTTTGACAACTCTACGTTTGGTCTTCCGGATCTCTCAAGTCCAGGGGTATACAGAGAGTTTTGTTCAAGACCTCCTCCGCACTGGATTGAAGGCCATGTTGAATGGGAAACCCATCGTTGTCCCAGATTACGGAGAGATCAGTAGCATCATCCTTCTTGGTATGCCAGTTTCCTATTAAAAAACAATATTCAATAATAGTGTCATTTTGACAATTTTTTTTAAATTCCAGGGGCAAGTGGAAAATCATTCTATGAGATTGGGAATGACATAAGTAAGATATAATTATATTGTTGATCATATTTGAAGGTTTACTGAAAACTCAGAGTGCTCAGATGCCTTTGTTCTTTACGGCAGGGAAATGTCCTGAAGAAACATTCACTTGTGACAACGGCGAATGCATCACAAAGCTAAATCCAGAATGCGACTTTATAACCGACTGTGTTGATGGTTCAGATGAAGCCTTTTGCTGTAAGTGTCACCATCTTGCTATTATGCTAACATTTAAGCTACACTGTAAAATAATGACCGTGAATTTAACGGTAAAATACTGTAAAAATGCTACAGTAAAAACCTGTTAAATGGTTAACGGTAAATTCCCCTACTATATACGGTGAAAAACTGTATTGGACATTACATGTATTGGACATTCATTTTACGGTAGTATATCGTTTTTGGAAGTGAAAAAGACCGTATAATTTACAGAGAATAACCGTAAATTGACATTCCCAGAATTCCCTGCGTTACATTTCAAATGTAATGTTTTTTTGTTGAAATAACTATGTTTCTTTTTAGTTTTTTTAAAAGGTGCTAGTGATAGGCTTTGGTTCATCAGGTGACTTTCTCATCACCACCTGCTTTTGGTGGTTATCAGTGTATTACAAAGGTACAAAACAGATTTCAGTACTTCAAAAGGTTGGTATATTAACATTATGTTAGTTAATGAAATTACGGTATTTAACTGTAAATTTAAGTTAAAACCGTAAAACCTAAAACGTTGCTACTGTATTTTTACGGTAAAATTCCTGCAACCACAGCTGCCGGTTTTTTACCATAAATTTTACGGATTTT